AATGTATCCAACATGTTTTATAAAAGTTCAAGAAGTTATTTAACATGTTTTGGATTGTTCAAGGACTTATTTGTTTCAAAAATTGTCCAAGGACTTATTTAACATTTTTTGGAATGTCCAAAGACTTATTTGTTCCAAAAATTGTCCAAGGACTTATTTAACATTTTTTGGAATGTCTATGGACTTATTTAACATATTTTAGAATGTCCAAGGACTTATTTGTGCCAAAAAATTGTCCAAGGACTTATTTAACATGTTTTGGAAAGTTCAAGGACTTATTTGTTCCAAAAAAAAGTTCAAGGACTTAATCRTTCCAAACAAGAAAGTTCATTGGTTTTTATTATACTTTTCCCTTAATTAATTGCAAGTCACATGTGATTTTAACAAAGTAGTAATTTTTTTAAAATGTTACCTTAAATAAAAATATATTATTTTAAAAAGAATTAAATAATGCTTATTTTAAATGTCTTAAATAGAAAATGAATTTTTTTAATTAAAAGATAAATCACATTAAAATCCTAAAAATAGTAAAAGGAAAAATCCTAAATAAATGTCTTAAATGACTTTTATATAAATAAAACAACTTTTATGCCTGTATTTATTCAGTTTCGGAATTTTTTATTTAAAACATTATTTATTATTTTATTTTCTTATTTAATTAAAATTCTCGTTTAAATTGTAATCAACTTATACATTTCTTGCATTTGTTATTTAACTACAAAATCTTATTGAAGGACAAAATTTACCAATTAATATCATTATATAGTATTTATAATTTAAACAATAAAATATAAAAATGTTATAAAAGAGTATTTTTAGTCATTTATATAACTTTATTACAGTTCCAAATTTACATACAACGAATCGAATAGATGTAATACCTAGGATTCACATTTGCATATATTCATGTATTTCATACATCAAGAAATACAAATACATATTCGGTCCCAAATATATATATACAAAAACTACATTAAAAGTAACTACCAAATTTTTTCACAAAATCTCTATAAAAAACTTGTACTCATAAACAACATGCAGGTACAAGTAACATCATATTATCCCAAAATCCATATGCAGGCAATTATATATTTCTTCATAAATTTCCCTTTCCACATTTTAAAACACCAAAATGAGGGTTAGACCTTGAGGTCTAGTGAGAAATATCATTTATGCAATTACAGGGTGAAAATCACTAAATCAAGTTTATAAATCTATATTTGTAATATAACTGTTAGGACCAAAATTGTCCTAAATATCATGAAAGTTTTATTAAAGCAATTTGCGCCAAGTATGAAAGTTTATATACTTATCTTCAGATATCTGAATTGTGTTTACAAGATTAAGTCTAATTAAATCTGCAGACTTGTCTTCAGAGATCTGAAAATGTGCTCGCAAGACTAAGTACTTGTCTTCAGAGATATGAAGTCTAAATTTTCAAAGTTATACTTTAGAATTTTTTCAAGAGTACAAGTCTAAAGAGTCATTTTTCAGAGTTATTCAAATACCCAATATCTTGATAAGAATAATCCATGGGTAAAACTTGCATCATATAGAGCAAGACCAACCAAAGCTCATTTGGTCCTTAAGGACTAGAGCCCTTCTGGTCTTACCAACCAGAGCATGACCAACCATATAAATGATCATGCAGTTCTTATATCAGTTTCCAATTGAGGAAAACTTTAACCAAAAACTTACCATCATACTAAAAATAGTATATAATTGTTCAAAAACACCCAAGTACGATACCATACGATTCCTTATTAAAACCATATCAAATGAAGCTTTTAAAGTAAAACTTACAATTAAAAACTCACCTTATGATCACAAAAATGAAGATGAACAACAGTACGTATTCAGATTATAATCACAGAATTAACTTCTTTTTCCCCTTACAGGCTTGTGTACTTTACACACAAGAGAACACACACATAAAAGCTCCCTTTTCTTTTTCTCCACCAAATGAGATAAAATAAACATCTTATTACTCATTTTAAATATTAAGAGGCAGTAGTGGGATTGATATTTTAAAATATTTTGTTCTCACACCCTCACATGAGATAATAAAAATATCTCATATAAAATAACCATATAAACAATAAGGGGTGGTGGGGATTCATAAATATTTAAGCAAATAGACGAATTAAACCCCTCAACTTACCACCATTATTCGAAATTAATGCTCAACTTTGTAACCGAAAAACCCGATTATCACAATAGATATATTGTAGAGAATTTGGGTTTCATGGTAGTAATCACTTTGATATTTCCTTAATTATGTATGAAAAGCATTTTTCATATACTACAATGCCTTAGGTTGCACGAAATTAGTATTGGAACAATCCAGACTAGTTACCATCAGTTTAAGGCATAAACTCAAGTATATATTAGACCAGTGATCAAGGGATATGGACCCTTGATCACATTTAATTTCACCCTCATCCCATGAGTTGTGCTGGATACGAGAATTGATCTAGTGCATCTCGATGCATTTCAAAACTGTTGAACTTCAATTAGGATTGATCCAAGTGTGGAGATCCCGTTTGACCCTTTTCACCATAACTTCCATTCTCATCGGAAACTAACCTTATATATACATATACATATATATATATATGTGTGTGTGTGTGTGTGTGTATTGTGTGTTCACCAGATCAACAGTTTATGTATTTATAGAAGAGATCGACGATTATGGATGGTTAATATGTAACTGTACGACAGTTACAACCACTAACAGATAAGATCAAATAACAATTCCAAGTTTGCAATTGATTTAGAAGCTCTGAGTTAGAAGCACCAAGCTTAGAAGGACCGAACTCAGAAAACTCAATCCCTGAGTGAAGACTCAGAAGCCCTGAGCAGAAGACTCAGAAGTTCTAATTCCAAAGGCTTCTGAATACTTGGGCAGTTTTTCACTAAGCATAAGAATTAATTCAAGATCCGGCCTTCTAAAATTCATCCAAAATGTCTCATAACTTAGAATTTTGAAGTAAATCCTTTCATAAAATCTGTAGAGGCTTATGATTTCAACCACTTGGGCGCTTCCCTTTGGACCCCACTAGGAGGAGCAGCCGCTTGACCTTGAACTTATGGCAATCTAAGGTGATGGAAACAACATTCGTGAGTATGCACTTTGCACCTTCTAACTCACATTATGTTTGCCTTCTCACCTAATTGGTATCAACTAAATCACAATTACACCAAAATGATTGATGACATTAAGATCACGAATGCAAATCTCATTTCAATTTCCTCTTAACTAAAGACATAGTCAAACTTGATTAAATTCCATTTCAAATCCTTCATATTTTAATTCCTTTGACAAATTTCAATTTCAATAAAACTCTGTTAATCAAATGCCACCCAACACTATATTCTTGAGTCCTTTTTCATGATGGAAAGGGAGGGAAAATGAATGAAAGTTAGCGAGCGAAAGAAAAAATTCGTGTTCTCAAGTTTTTTAATAGGAAAAGTTAAAAAAAAGGAAACAATTAACAATAATAAAAAGAATATATTTTCTTCTTTTTCTTTTCTTCCTTTAAATTGTCTCTTAAAAACAAGAATAATTTCTAAATTTAAAAAATTCTAAATCTATTTTTTTAAAATAATATAATTAATAATAAAGTATATAATATATTTAATATACAGGGACAAGACTAGTCGGAATCACGTTACCCAACGTCGTCCCCATATTCGGTTTTAACTTTTAAGGATCCATGTTCCCATCCCAATCCCCGATTTTGCAAAGAATCCCCGGTCCTTTCGGGATGGACATATCGGTTTTCCCAATAAAACGGGTGTTATTCCCATTTCTATATTATTTTGACCTTTTTTCTTATGTACATTCTATTCTAACTTATTTTACTTTTGTTTAGATAAGAAAAAAAATGGAAAGTCAAAACGTTTAATCAAACAATTACATATGACGTTGTGAATTGTGATTTAGTTAACATATGAATAATTTTGAAAATAGATGAGATTTAAATAAAGACCGTTTTAGATCAAATATAATGTTTAATATATTTGATTTAAAATATCTCACATAATTCCCTGTTACGGGTTTTTGATCCCCGTTGGATACAAGATAGAGGATGGGATCATATTCTAAAAATTGGGAATCGTAGACGAAGATAGGAATTAAGGGGTTGTTTACCAAATGCTTACTCGGGTAAGTGAACACCAAGCCACGTTATCTTACCGAATAATTATGGTAAGGATTAAGAATCTTACCCGGTAAGAGCGACAGAAAGACCAAGAGTCTTACCCGGTAAGTGAAGACGACGACTATTACCACGGTAAGCGCTTACCGGGTAAATTGTTCCATATGATACCGTTTTGGTGAACTAAAATCTTACGTGGTAAGTAAATGATAGTATTAAATTATACCGTTGATTACCGAATAAGTGTATGATAAACGACCCCTAAGTCTCTTTCCCATCCCCACCCCACCCCATTTCCATTTCCATTTCCATTTCCATGATTATATACTTTAGATGTTCAAGGATCATATAAATTTCAAATAACAATATTCCAATATTATCTAATATTTAAAATACAATCTAACGAATTAAATAAATGTAATATAGAAAAATACAAATTCCCATAAATTCTTTTAGGTATCTTTACAACAATCAAACAATAAGAAATATTAAATCTGCAAGTAAACAGATTTGAATGTATGTTCTTGTTTGGTTGTTAACACAATACTTAAAACTAACAAGGGATCTGATGAGTAAACCATCGAAGAATTTTAATGGGAAGTTTGATGAGATCCACTGCTAAATTTGCAAGTCCAGCAAAACAACAGCAACAAGGGCACAAACAGCTCACCACCGATCCAATGATCCAAATCACGGCACCGATCACCGAAAAAACCAAAGCGATCAGAGCAAATGGCAATCCGATCAGAAACCCTAACGGCCTGCAATCACCGTCTCCCATTCTTCCGATTCGAAATCTGAAATCTCGATTTACTGCGTGTTCTTGGCGTTGTGTGTGTTAAAACGAGAGTCGTGAAAATCTGAAATCTCGATTTACTGCGTGTTCTTGGCGTTGTGTGTGTAAAAACGAGAGTCGTGAAAATCTGAAATCTCGATTTACTGCGTGTTTTTGGTGTAGTGCGTGTGAGAATGAGATTCAAAAACTGTAGAGGAGTCTAGGGGTTTATGTAGAATTTGGTTTCCTGGCGCAGTTGACCGAAATGGCCCTTGAAGGTGTGCTTGGATTGGACTGAGTCGTCGGAAATCTCAGGGCGATTTTAGTAAATTTGGTTTGTTGGGTTGGGGTGGGGCCGTGGGGGTGGTTTAGTCGTTGACCGAGGAGGAGACTTTTCTGAAAACGTGGGGGTGTGCAACTATGCATTTTCCATGTGTGGTGCGGTGCAGGAAATAATATTTTATTTTATTAAATAAACCATAAATCTATATATCTATTAAACTAGTTGTACACCCACGTAATGCGACGGGAGCCGTGAATTTTAACGATTTTAAAGTTTCACTGATTTTATTAGAGAAGATTTAACGATGATATAAGTTACATTTGGTATTTATATATTAATACAATTTGAATAAATAAGAGTTATGGTTCCAATTACAGTCTATCAATAAAAAAAATCGTATGACAGTTTAAAATCCAATATATTTAAAAATCCAACATATTTAAGCGACTCCACAAATGTTTTTGATTTGTACCAAGAGCAAAGAATCAAGAGATTGAGACCGAGAGTTTAGAGCAATTGAATGAGATAAGTTTTAATAACTCATGGTGAATCTCAGTTTGAATCTCACATTGGAGATGAGGAGAAGACATAGAGGTATGAGAGAGTGTAGGCATGAATGAAAGGTACCAAAAGTATCTTGAGAATATGAAAAGAAAGGTAATAATGTGCAATGGTAACTTGTACTATATGTTATCTTAATTGTAGATTAAGATATTTTAAGACTGAATGCATAAAGTAGTAGTACTTAATGCATTATGAGTTATTTTTAAGACTTTGTGCATTAAAAATTGTTTTTAAAACTTTTGATAAATCTGATTTATAATATAATATAAATAAAAAAACAAGGTTGATCATTTGGCTTTTCCTAAAAGCTAGAAAACTCATTTATCTTTTTTCTCGTTAACCTTTATTTAAATCTTTTTCCCTAATTTCAATGTCTAATTTTTATAACATTGATTATTCATTTATTTTGCATTTAACACCATCTTTTCATATTTCAAGACTCTTTTTCATGTCTCAATCATTTCATTTTCTTTCTCATGAATTGTTCATTGTTCAATCTATTTTTCTCAATCTACATCACTTGATTTGTTTTTCATATTTCATTTTATTTTCTCATGAATTGTTCATCGTTCAATCTCTTTTTCTCTACCTACATCACTTGATTTGTTTTTCATTTCATAAACCATTATTTTTCAACAAATTCATTTTCAAGTTTATTTCAATAAAACTAATTCGGGTATGCATTACATTTGATTTTTGTTGGGATTTACGAGTTTTGTTTATACCTTTTCTCTTCTATAATTTTCTTAAGTTTTCCTCAATGAAACCAATAGTTTGTTTTTGACAACGTTTTCAGAATTTTGATGGCAAAAATGGTTCAATGACGGAATCAAAATATTACAAGCAATGATGTAACCTCAACAAACTTCTAACATGTTCTTTTTAATGATTATCTTTTTTCAAATATACTTTGAGAAAACTAATACATGTATGCGTTCCTTTTGAGTTTGTTTGAGATTTTAAAGTTCTTTTTGCTTAAAGGAGAAACCAAACATAATGAGATTCTTTTTTTTTACTTAGATTTTTTATTTTTTAAAATATTTGATATATGTAAAAGACTTTTCCATCCATATATTTAAAACATGAAATTCATTAAGATAAGATTGTTTTGGTAATTTTAAAAAGTTAACCACCAGCATTTTCATCTTTATTCTTGGAGGTGAAACCTCCAAACCCTTCCACGTGCTCCTCCATGATTTATTCACCAATAAATCTCTTTTTCTTTCTCTTTATCATTTGATGTATTCTTCATTTTACAAACCATGATTATTTAATAAAATCTTTTTTCAGGTAAACTTTTCCCGCTCTATTCATTACTTGATTTCTTCTTTCATTTTATAAACTGTTATCATTTAACAAGATGGTTTTCAGGTTTATTATAATTATACTAATTTAGATATTTTTCTTCCTCTCTATCACTTGATATATTATTCATTTTACAAATTTTTATTCTTCAACAAAATATTTTTTCAGGTAATCTTTTAATTTCGTTCTACATCACTTGATTTGTTCTTTCATTTTATAAACTCTTATTATTCAACAAGATCGTTTTTTAGGCTTACTATGAGAATATTAATTTAGTTATTATTTTTGAATTTTGTTGGGATTTTAGAGTTTAATTTTTTTTTTTTACTTTTGTCTTCTATATTTTTGTTAAGTTTTTTTTTAATGGAATTCAGGGTTTGTTATTGGCGGCTGTTATAGAGTTTTGATGACAACAACGGTTCGATAATTGAATTTTGAATGTATGTATTAAAAAATATATGATATAACGTCAACAAACTTCAATATGTTCTTTTTCAATAGTTATTTCTTTTTTCAGATTTATTACAAGAAAACTAATACTACATTTTCTTTCGAATTTTGTTGGAATTTTAAATTTTTTTTTTGTTTTTGTCTTTTATATTTTTTCTAAATTTAAAATTTTACTAATCATCTTATTTACATGACACTTGAATATAATAATGTGTATGTTTTTATTTACATAACAATTAAATTTATTAAAAACTTATTATAATTAATATTATATATCTATAAATACTAATAAATAAGTAACTTTTGGGACACGTGTTATATTTCTGTGTGGCGGTTATTGATTTTTCCCGCCTAAACATATATCTAGACACAATTTTCACTTACGGTTCAAATAGGTCTATTTAAGTGACACGTGTCCCTTCGGGCGGTTAATTTCACGTATTCGTGGTATAACCGCCTTCGCAGAGTAATTGGCGGTTCAGAGTTCCAAAATCTGAAGTCCTCCTTACCAGATTTAGAGCCGTCCAACGATTTCGCCTCCAGATTTAGAAGTAGGAGACTCAGAGGTCTCTGCATGTACTATGCAGAGGCTCTGCATCTGGAGTGAAGCTCTGCATGTAATATGCAGAGGATCTACATCAAGCACTTAACCTTTTTAGCGTTTAAGCCTTGATCTTCCTTTGAATACAGCACGTGCTCTATATATGAGACACTTAACTCTTGAGTAGCTTTGTCTCTTGATGTCTTCTACATGAGAACTCTAGGAAAATTCAGAGCTATAATTCTGAATTTAACTCTGGAGTAGTTAACAAAATCAGGTTTAAAATTTCAAATTCGAATTTTGAAGCATTTTTCACAAAGCAGTATTACCTGGACCCTGCCAGAGGCTGCCGCCCTTGGACCCCGCCACCGGGGGCGCTGCTCCCGGACCCTCGTCGTTTAGGGGCTTCGCCCCTAAATCAAAATAAACTCAAACAAGTGTGCACTCCGCACCTCTCTTACCTGTTCGATATTTATCATGATTACATTGGTCAACAATTTAATCCCATTACACTTAAATGATATTAATGATACAAATCATCAACATGAAGTCATCAGATATTGGTTATTTCTCAAACTTACAACATAACTCTAAATTGTTTTATTCCAAACTTGTTTATATAGTTTATTCCCGGACTTAGAATACAACTCTAAACTCCTCTTCAGAGTTACGTTTCTGAGTTATAAGAAGTCAGAATTCTTGTGACTCAGAGTTATGCTCGTACATACTTTCTAGACTTAGAAGACAACTCTGAATTCCTTTTATTCAGAGTTAAGTCCAGAGTTAATTTCCAGCCTAACAATAGAATTCTGAATTCTTATGTTCCAGAGTTAATGTTCAGAGTTTTTTTTTTCAGAGTTAATGTCCAGAGTTTTTCTCATTTAAAATACCCCGTGTAATACACGGGGTCGAACCTAGTATATATATATATATATATATATATATATATAACTTGAAATGGAGATGATGATTAATCACATTAATTTAATAGTTTACAAGTAAAAAAAAATAACCTCATTGCAATCAATATATATAAATAAGATACTTATAATAATTTCATATAATATAACTTATCATTTATGTGTTCTCCATCTCCATGTACGAGTTATAAACTATTGGTACGCACTCCCCTCTTTTTTTCCGTCTCTCATATATGGCAGAAGAGTATGCACGGGTTTATCAATATATTAAGAAGACATTAGAGCACGAATTAAGGAGAAGTCTCAATTGATGTTTTAGAATTTTGTGAGAATTTTGATTATTTTTGCTTTTGTTGTGGATTCACTTTTGTCTTTTATATTTTTTTTTATAGTTTCTTAATTTGTAATTTTGGAAAAAAAAATCCAATTAATTAAGTTGCATTGGTTGTACAAATGAACATGGTTGCATTTGAAATATACCCTATATATATTATATATATATATATATATATATATATATATAT